TACCATGGGTGCAGCAGGCGCAATGATATTACGCAGCGCCTGAAAATAGGCTTATTGGAAGTTACCTAGCTGGGACTATTTTCAGGCGCTGCGTAATATCATTGCGCCTGCTGCACCCATGGTACGGTCTAATCAGATTCAATGATCTATGCTAAGCTACAGCTAAAAGTGCTACCGCCAGACCCGGAGATCGGCTGAATGGATTCGAAAAAACGATAAAACTCATAACTCTAGGGGAGTTGGAAAATTAGCTTATTTTCAAAAATAGTGGAGTGTTCCTTTAAATGTATGTAACTGCACCTCTCGGGAAACGGCTCGTTTGGGCTCAACGACTCGACCGTCCACTTTGTGTGGCCGCGCTGCCATAGCAGCATCAACCTCCGCTACACAGGAATACGTCACAAAGCCGAAACCTCGTGAGCGCTTGTTAGCTGGATCTCTCATTACCTGAGGAAAGATAATCATTGATAGCATTATCAACAACAGTGCTTTTATTGGTGTTATTATTATTACTATATCTATATGCATTTACGCCACAGGACTGTTTGGCTGATTGATTCTGATTGGCTGACTTACAGATGTTCTAAGGTGTTACTTATTTAAAGGAATAGTTCACCCAAAAATACAATTTTAATGAAAATTCACGAACCCTCAGGCCATCCAAGATGTAGATGAGTTTGTTTCTTCATGGGAACGGATGTGGAGAAATGTAGCATTACATCACTTGCTCACCAATGGATGCTCTGCAGTGAATGGGTGCCGTCAGAATGAGAGTCCAAACAGCAGATAAAAACATCACAATAATCCACACGACTCCAGTCCATCAGTTAATGTCTTGAGAAGTGAAAAACTGTGCATTTGTAACAAAAACATCCATCATTAAGGTGTTTTTAACTCAAAACCCTTGTTTACAGATAAATCAGGAGAGAAATATGCACATATCAAGCACCATTTACAAGCAATATCAATTCTAAACAAATGTGTTGGTGGATTTTGATGTGAAAGGACAACAGTGGATGTACTTTTTCACTGGAGGAATCATTATTATGGATTACGGACTCAAAGTTTGGCCAGAAGTAACAGTTTTAAATGAAAAGAACCTTAATTATGAATTTGTTTCTAACAAACATGCAGCTTTTCGCTTCACAAGATGTTCATTAATGGACTGTTCTGACTCTCATTCTGACGGCACCCATTCACTGCAGAGCATCCACTGGTGAGCAAGTGATGCAATGCTACATTTCTCCAAATCTGATGAAGAAACAAACTCTCTATATCTTGGATGGCTTCAGGGTGAGTACATGTTTAGCAGATTTTCATTTTTGGGTGAATTATTTTCTTCAAGCAATATCACAGGAGCAAGAGGGTTGTATGCGGCCACAATATTAAATATCAGCATGGCTGCGATTGAACTGATTTTGCATAATTCCATGGTTCGTTTTAATTATTCCTTCTTAATACTGTGGCAATAGCATTGCATATTCACAATCCATGGTATTTTTATGGATGCTTCACAGAATACCCTGGTACTTTTTGAATTTTATTGACATTTATTATTAAAGATGGCTTCTAGCTGTCTGTTCCTGATGCAGACACACTGCAAAACGATTACAATTAACTATGAATCAAATCCTAAATGTGATCTGAAGGTCTGTCTCTCACCACACAGTCAGTGAGTTTGCCCCATTGCTCAAAGTGAGCTCGCAAACTGTCCTCCGTGGTCTCAAAACTGAGTCCGCCGATAAACAGCTTCCTGAGCTGCTCCGGCTCCTTACTGTCACCACCCTGTTCACATAAAACACACAATTAATAATCAGACTTGAACTTTTGCCTCTTTAGAAATATGCGTCATTAGACTGATGAAACTGGCCCCTAGGGCATGCCCTCTGTGTAACATAATACTCTAAAGCTATTAAAATAATTGTATAAAGCTGATAATGACAGGTTAATCGATTGCAGCTTTCAAACTGCAGAGCTGGTTTGCTTTCTCTGTCTGGGTTTTCTCCTGCAGCCTATGAATGCTGCTCTGTGGGAGTGATGGATGACATCGGGCCATGCTTCTGCCAAATTCGGCGGATATATATTATTCATTCGATTGAGTGACGTGAGCTCACCAATCCCTCCTGATTGGCTGAAAGACTGACGATAAAATTGGGCGTAGGCTCGGTTTATGAATATTAATTAGGGTGCGTGATTGGATGTTCCAGGAAAACTACCCCGTAACGTCAGCATATCCTTGTTAATATTCATGAGCTAAACCAAAGCACTAGTAAGCCATCGGTATTTTATCCGGTGGTCGTAGGTTTCTAATATCGAATTACATCTAAAGGAATAGAGTGGGTATCTGTCCAGGAATTTCCAACGACTACACACGCGATTTTCCAAAACAAAAGCTAAGTTCATGAGGAGACGACTGGAAACAAACCGGCGGCTGATGAGCGTCTAGAATATTCCATGCGCCATTTTAGATTTATTTTCAGTGTTTCCTCCATATTGTTAGTGTTAATGTTAAAAGTAAAACATTAAATCCCCATATTTGTATTTTATACTGACATGTTTACAAAAAAAAAACAGGTTCAATATTTTGTTATCGCTAGTCAACAACCCCATATTATTTAAGTTAGCCAAAACATAGCAGCTCGTTAAGAAACTGTCCGACGCGTTCACTCTTGGCACACATTTGGTGTTCAAGAGAGCAGCGTTAACGTTAAATGTAAGACATAGAGACTCGTGTTTCATTTGAAAATATGAATATATCCGCCTGAACAGCATGCATACAGTATCTGCTCTGTACTCGGTCATAGACACTCAGTTTAACATGACAGCAGAATGCAGCACTCTTAACACAAAGCCAGTGTAATACACTGACATAAGATATCTATTACTGTGGATACTGTTAACACAAACTGTAAACGCAAACTCCGTATAATATCAGAAATATTGATAAGCAGTACCTCCATGCAGCAGCTTATGCGCCCCTCGGTCTGCACATGTGATGCCACACTCCAGCCATTGGAGGCGCTGCAGGACACTTCCGGATATAGTTCAACTGTTTTGTGCGATAACAACAACAAAAAGTATATATATATATATATATCTCAGTAGGCACTTATGAACACACTTATATAATTTAATATAAAGGAGATACCTATATATTATTAGGGTCAAGTGATCTGGCAATCTGTTTTTTTCCCCTTCCAAATATCAGCATTTGGATCAACTGTGCTTGTTCTCTGTGTCTGGCTCAGGCCGATGGATGGTGGTTCAACAGACCTGACATAGGCCTAGCAAATCAATTTTCAGAGCTTTTAAGTAGATCCTGCTCACTCCACACAGTATTTGTGTGACGGATAAGCTTTTTTGTCTTTGTGTGTATTCTTTTGAAATTTTTACAAATTAGTTTATTGTTTGAAACTTGTACCTGAAATACACCTTCAATAAACTGCCAAAACCGCACTCTCTATTCTAATTCTATTCTTAAAAAAACTTGCCCCTTTTAGACTTTAGACTATTCAAAACTAACATTAGCTTCTCTATTCTTTTTGTATTCTGTCTATTTGTTTTCTTTTATTTATTATACAATTAACAAAAAGCAAAAAAGGCCTCTAACACTAGCTTGCTCTATTCTTTTTCTATTCTATCTGTTTTCTTTTTATTTATTATATAATTAAAAAAAAACCTTGCTACGTGTACTGCATTAAGCTAACAGACGTGTTATAGCACTTGCGTATCATTGCTCTTTTGTTGGTTTTGATTGCTTCTATTGTCCTCATTTGTCGCTTTGGATAATAGCGTCTGCTAAATGACTAAATGTAAATGTAATGTAAGTTTAAAATTAAATCTGAACTCGTATCTAAACAATAATTCATTCGTTCGTTCGTTCGTTCGTTCATTCATCCATCCAATGGGGGCCTTCAGGTCCATGGGGAAATTAAACATTTTTTGGTAGGTTAAAGTTTGTAGGTTAAATGTGATCCTAGTCATCTTTTTCTAGAAAGGCTGGATGGTGAGCATTTCTGGAGCACTTCTTGGACCGTGAGCATGCTGTGTCCGTGTGAATTTCCTGCCCGTAAAAGTGCTTCAGTATCATGTAAGAATCTGAGCTGGTAGTATAACATAAAACTAGTAAGAATCTCTGACAGTGTACTGAACCATTTACCTTGACTTATGTTTGAACGAAGTTGATCTTATCTTGTTGATGATAACGTAGGCTAATTGCACTATAATTGAGGTGATGCAACTTAAACAAGACACTGCAGTTGTGATGAGTGTAAACAGTGCGCAGTGTCTGTTTGTGTACCAACACTGTGGTTCAGAAATTACCGTAAATACAGTGAAAAAAGCAAAGAAAAATGCCTCTTAGTTTGATATCAGAAAATGTAATTTGATGCTATATGGGTGATTCTATAATTGGAGATACATTTGGCATTGCAGAAAGTTAAGAAAAAAACTTTTCACTAACAGATTTTTTTTTTGTCAGTATCTTATTGAAAACATATTTAATTTGAATAATTCAGTGCTTTCCAAACACAAGTTACTTCCTTTTACTTTTAATGAAAAAAACAGATGTCTTTATGGTATTGTTTGTCAACTCTGTTACGGACAAATTAGCCAATGTGTAGAAATAACAATAAATCATAACAGGAAAAATCCTTCTTGTTTCATTAGACAAACAGTCCTTACATTCCATCACTTGAAACTGAGATAATATTTCACCTATGCATACCTTAAAAATAAAAAAAAATACCTGTCTTCACAGAACCGTCCACTTGGAGCAAATATTTTTCATCTGAAAATGTATTATATACAATATCCAGTTATCAATAATCAATAATCAATAATGTTTAATAGGATTTTAAACTACAAATTTATTTAAATTTTTTTTGTGTGAAAATAGTTCATAAACAGAGTTGACCCTTTAAGTAACAGAATTGTAAAGTCACAGAATTGACAATTGTCCGATGGACTGTCAATTCTGTTACCGCATTGTCAGCATTGTTACTCTACCTTGGTAACAGAGTTTGACAGTAACAGAATTGACAATTTTCTTTATTTTTTGCCAAAAACTCCACTTGCTAGCATAAATGCTAAGAGCACATGGCACTAATGAAATCATGATTAAAAGACTTTTAAATAACACAAAGTGTGATCAATGAAAAACATCTGTTTTCCTTTTGATATTGTGGTAACAGATTTGACACTTTATAAAATAACGCTTGGTGTAAGAACTTTTTAGAATAAAATATTTTCTTAGAGAGAGCACATAGACTTTTCAGTGCTTCAGATCTTAACAGTGAGGGAAAGTGACATCATTTCCTGTATCTTACATAGTTGTGGGAGATAATTCCACTAATTTAAAGGCAAAGTATAGTACGGTAACAGAGTTGACGCAAGATTTACGGACACACTTTTTTATGAGAAAAAAGTTATTTTTTTTAAATAATGTTGCAGAATTAGGTAAATGACTCGTTAGGGCTTTTATAAATAAAATGAATGAAATATTACAAAAAGAAAAGTACAATAAAATATTTTGATTACACAATGATACATGATGGAAAAAAATGCACTGACTAATTCGGACAACAAGAAATCATGATTTTCAGCTATTTAAGACACTTTTTGCAAAAAATATTATATTGTTATGGACTGTAACATCTTGTAATTCATAACAATGAGTAACACAGTATTAAAATAATTAAAAATATAACCATTTGAAAAAAGCAGAAAAAAAATAATGACTTCGGACACCAAATGTACCTGCAATTATAGAATCACTCATA